GTGCCAGAACCCGAGAGAAACAAGAAGCTGAGGCTTGGAACATTATGGAACAGTGTAGAACAGACTGGAAAGATAGTCAAAGACTAGTATAAAAGACGGAGCATCCAGCTCAGACAGTAGGCTATACCAACACGTGCCCACACCCACGCCCACGCAATACGTTTTTATATATCCAGCCCGGGCCATCATGCCCAAAAGCAAGAGCAAGAGCAAGAGCAAGAAAGACTCCGGCTCTAAGACCTACGTCCGCAAGTCCGACTACCAATACCAGAAGGACTTCGGAGGCTTCAACAACTTCATGCACAGCTACGGCTTGAAGACTTGGGACCACGACGATATTCAGGAGGGGAAGGCCATTATTGAGGCTTTCAGAGAGCAGGACCAGAAGGATCAGTCCAACTGATGTATTTCTTATCAACGGCCCTATATCAGTCTGTTTCCCGTCGGATTGTATTTTGTATATGCCACATTTTATACGCTTTGCACAATATTACTAATCTTGATATCGCCCTTAGTTCCTGCCAGCCGTTTGTGGCTCGGGTGGTTATACGACCTTCGTCCCTAGCTCATCATCTCGCTCCCCATTTCCTTCTAACCTCCCTCATTCAGACTACCACGATTATAGTCACCCTGTGGACCTTCTTCTTCCTTATTCGTATTGCTTCGTATGCACTCCGCGTCGCATCGTCACGACTTCACCCTTCCTATTCCGGCCTGCCTTCGAGCGAGGACCTCAGTCTCTCTCCCTCGCTCGAAGAGTAAACGCCCTGCCAGTCCTCGTGTAATTGGAGCGTTGCCTACCGCGCGTGAGCTTCCATTGTTCCCGCCGTCATGGATGACCGGTACCCATAACGGACCCGACATAACAAGGTTCAGCCTGCAAAGGAAAATGGGTATGCACCCCGTACCAAGCACCACGGTGACAGTTTATAACTCTAGCCACAGATGATGCAAACAAAATGCACTGCGCAACGAGTGACCGAAAGAAACGAGAGGAGAGGAAGGAGTGTGACATAACGAGGAAGAACATGTCGGAATAAGTACAGAATAGTGCAGAAACCGGGGGAAACAAGAAGCTGCGGGGGCGATAAATCACCTGGAGTGCCGAGCAGAGTAGCGACGAGCTCTGTTCGCTTGAGACTCGATCCTGGAACTACGAGCGAAGTATTATCGGCACATTGGGCGGTCAAATATAATGCATTATAATGCACCGTCGGGCATTTATAATGCGTTATAATGCGATTTTTAGTGATTTTTGAGTTTATAATCCAAGATAACGGACCAGATCGCATTATATTGCATTTTAATGCAATATAATCTCCGTCCCTTTTTGCCGATGATGG